GACAGAAGGAGAAGTCTTTTCTCTCGGGTCCAGCCCCTCGTCCCTTCTCTGCGTTGTTTGTTTTTTTTGTTCCCGTCTTCGATTCCCTTCGTGCACACACATAAACACTCACACAGAAACGCACACTCGTACGAAACACACCCTCCGTTCAAAGTTCAAGGTCCTTGGAGATTTGGGTGGCAATGTCCCGAAAAGCTAGCGGTGCCCCCCAGAGTCGCGTGTAGCGCACCCCGTTAGAAGTCTCCGAGGTGCCCGTGGAAAGGTGGCACACCTCGGCCTCGAAAGCCACGCGGCCCCCTGCCACGCCGTGGGTGCAGGAGAGCAGAAAGGGGCCGGCATGATGGACCTGGCAGCCACATCCGAGCGCCGCCTCCCGCAGAGCCAGTACCACCTCCGCAGGGTCCCGCCGCCCACCGCCTCTCAGATCCCAGCCACGTCCGACGGCCCGGGGCTCGGACGCTTTTTGATACCCAGGTAGATGGCAACTGAGGAGAGGGGGCGAAACGGAGAAACGCTCAGGCACCGCAGCACACCTGCCACTTCTAGTTTCATATCGTCAGCTTTCTGCTGCCAACGCAGACGGAACACGTGTACTGACCTTGTGACCGCAAATCTCCTGATTCCCTCAGATTCATTTGTGACCCTGTAGAACAAGCAGGCAGAGTAAGGGGTAATCCACCAGAGCACAATGAGCCTCATGACCAATCCACTAGTCTCAGATGAGATGGCATTCAGCAGTGGATATTATACAGTCAGACCAAGCAAGCATCTGCAACAACAAGCACGTGATGTGCAGAACAGTGTGTCCTCACCTTAAAGGAATGCACTTTCCCACTTCCTCACTCACAGCCTTCAAAGCATGCATGTATAAATGCTGTCCTTCAACTTGTAATCACTTCTGCGCTACACATTCCTTTTCATTGTTCCCGACAACAAATGGAGTACACATTTAATGAGTTTCCCTCTGTCAGCCCTCGCCAACCACAAAAGAAAAACACAAACCATTTCTAAGGGTATGCACAGGATGATAGAGGATTACAGCACTTGTTATAGCCACGCTCTACACACAATGACACTGATCCTGGAAGTGTACGTTAAAAACAAAACTCAAATGAATCTTCCTTGATTGCAACCATGCTTGAAACCAAGTGTGTGGGACCTAAACAGAATGGAGATGATTCACAAGGCATGCAGACGAGCAGTAAGGAGAACGTCGGGGCGTTTGTGGACTTTCCAGAGTGAGCAGGCAGACAGATAGGGCAGCACAGGCAGACAAGAAAGAAGCGAGAGACATGGGAACTTACTAACTGTTTTTGATCCTTGTGGAAGAGTACAACCCGAGACTGATTTGTTTGAGCCCTGGCGCTTGGACGGGTCAAGGTTGACCCTGATGCCATGACAGGGGGGGAAAGCAGAACGAGATAAAGATGGAGAAAAACAGGGAATACGGGGTAAGAGCAGGGGGTTGGGGGGCAAGAGAGAATATAATTGAGTCACAGGAGAGCAAGTGGTGGAAAAGAGCGCAGCGCGGGAGCTGATTGGCAAGGATAAAGCTGAGGTTTGATAAGATTAGACATGTGTGATTATGACGACTGGGAGGGAGAGGGGAGCAGAGGATAATCCAGGGCCACAGACGGGCTCGCCAAAAGCCTGGATGAATAAAATGTTTTGATAAGCATGGATCCATACCCGGGCCGTGCTCAAGCTGAAAGGCAGAACTTGGTGACAACAACGCCACGTGATTTCAAACATTTGACGTCTTTGGTTTGTGAATCTTACGCTCGCTGCAACAGCAAAGCAACTGTAAAAAACAGAAGTTACTAAGAACAGGAAATGAACAGGACAGGATCTACTCCCGTTTATCTACGGCCCTAAAAAGAATCAAAGCTATGCAGAGGTAGGAAGACGTACAGAATGTGATCATGTGAAAACACCTTCATAAGTGAGGATGGACTGTGTCACAGAGTTCCAGAAAATCTTCAGCTAATGCAGTTAAAAAAACCCAAACCTTACCAATGCTGCATAAGTAAAAACCTTTAAATTGCAGCCATTATGTCGTTAATCAAAGTTATGACCTCTGCAGTCTGACTGGGATGACGAAACGTTGGGACATACTGTCTTTCTGCTCAGAGCTGGATGAGGGGATTGATAGCGCTCTCGTTTCTCTGTGTTGCACTTGAAATAAATTCCACGTTATATAAGAGTTACTGTAATGACCAGTTTGCCACTTAAACGGCATCCACGCCAAGTTATGCTTCCAACTGGCAAAGTCAAGTCTTTCTGAAAGATCCAATATGTCTGGTTTGGCAATAAAATGTACAAAAAGCCAGCAAAAGCCAGCAAACACTAATTCCTCATATCAAGTGTGACACTAAACATTTTTAACCATCACGTGCCAGAATCAGAGTTCATACAGATCACACTGATCCTGTCCTGATGCCTTCACCAGCGTTTACAGAAGGCACTGCTAGCTAGCATGCTGGCTAATGTTTGTGTCTTTCTATTTTGTTTGGTTCATTAATAAAGACGGCTAATGATATGTAAGAAGCAGCAGCACGAGCGGACGCTGAAAAGGAAGATTTGGTTGGAAAAAGGAAACACGTCAGTTATAAACCTGCACAGTTAACGGAGTATTAATCATGACAGCAACTTTGGCTTCACACAAATAAACGAAAACAACTGATATTGATGTTAAAATGCTCCACTAGTAGAGAAATCCACCAACAACCGGTTTGGATACGATCAACTTGGGTAAATCTGAATAATTTCATTCTTTTCAACTTATTTTTTGGTCTTAATTTGATGCAGATTTGCACGTTAGTGGGGAAGCAGTGCTCGGTTTATCTAAATGTGACATAAACATTATTTTCTATGAATAACTGATAGGCGAATCGCGATTTCAATATTGTATCTCAATATATATATATTTTTTATGCAGATGCACTCATCACCCTAATCTCACCAGTTTCCAAACAGATTTATTAAAATCATCTGATGGACATTCCTGTAATTTTTCACATTCTAATACATATTGCAGAAAAACAAATCACTCCCAACATCGTGCAGCTGTATTTCCTACTATGACATGAAGGCAGCATAAAGCCGAGAGACTGTTAGCTTAGCTTAGCATAAAGACTGCAGGGAGAGGGAATCAGCTAGCTCATAAACACCACACACTGTAGAAAGAATGTGCTTTTGCTGGTAAACTCACTTTTCCTTAAAGAGGCGATCTGATCCCCCTGCTTCAGTCTATGCTAAGCTGTGCAGCTACGTATGTAATGCACAGACATGAGTGTGACGTCAAGCCTCCTATGAATGTGTGACGTGTGTAAATACATTGTTTAATTTTGTCCCGGGGTGGAAGTGGACGGAACGTGCACAACCACACCGGTCAGTTAGGCTGAAGTCCAGCAATGCGTCGTCTTCTAACAATACACTAGTTATTATAACAACTATGAACAATAATGAACAACTAATGAGCCTTCCAGCATCAAGCCCTCCTCGTATCTGGACCTCCGTCTGGACAATCTGACAGCCTTGATATCCGACATAGAAGAAGGTTTTACATTTAGTGTCGGGTTATCGAGTCACGACTGTACATTTGTTTAGTGACAGAACTATGATCACTACACTTACTTACATTTACATACTGTACTACGTATGTGGTGACTGAGCTAAGAGACCCTCAGGAACCCCCACTGGTTGATTTAACAGGGTCGTTACTGCACAAATTTGAAAGAAAAGGTCACTGATGTTTTTATAGATAAGATGGAAGGTGTATTTTTGAATTTTGGACAGAACCAGGCCAGCTGGTACTCTTACCGTTATGCTAAGCTAACGTAATGGACTCCTGGCTCATTCATATTGAACACATGTTTATGGGAGTGGCATCGATCCTCTCATCTCAGATCACAGCTTTAAACTTCTCCACTGTATTATTTGTTTATTATCAGTAATTTAGGGGTTTAGAGAACAAACAGAGGCAGCATGGGGGTAAAACATGTCAATGGCTCCATCCTATTTACCCCAGAGCTCTACAGCCACAGACACCGGCATGCTTCTGCTGCTGTGTGATGTGTGGCGCACGTCTACCTGCGAGTGAGTTTGGAGGTCAGCTTGGTGAAAAGGTTGGAGGTGGCCCTGGTGCGAGCGTGGGGCAGCGGGCTGGCGTCGTGGTGGGACAGGGTGGGCGACGTGGGCGGGGCGGAGTACACCGGGGGGCCACGGTCCCTCAGCTGCCCCCCGTGGAAGGTGCTGCGGATCGTGGAGCCTCGGGTCAAGCGGCATCGGTCCGAAGAGGAGGAGGAGGAGGCAGCTCCGGCCCCAGAGATGCTGAGCGTGGAGGGAGACGCCGCGGGCAGGCGGTGTCCCAGGGAGCTGCAGGGAAACAAACATCTGGTCTTATGCATTTACATTCAGAACTCCTGCTTTTCAACCATATTATTCATCATTACATAAAAAGCCCTCCATAAAGCAGGACTGGTGTAAATATTTATGGATTTTCCACCATAGTAAATTCTATTATATAACCATATTCCCAAACACACTGACCTATATTCAAGGATTCTGTATGGCACATTTTTCTGCCCATGAATCAGGATTGTTTTCAACACGTAGCCACACTTATTGCACCTGTACAGCACACTACCTGGTCCATACAGTAGCTTTAGGTGTTCGTCTGAAGAGAGACTTCTCACACACACAGAAAGCAACCGACTACATCAACACTAATCTTTAAATGGTACGTTGCCTCTAGTTCTTCCTAACAAACCAGAAACGTTTCACTCCCCCCGTCTGATTCTGAGTTTGCAGGCATAATGACAAGAGGGCCGGCAAGCGTCCAAGACACAAAACGTACCGAGAAGTTTCTATTTCGGATTTTCACACATCCATCCTCCGAACAGCAGAGCAGCTGAAGGTGACGACTACCCTTTCAAGTAAATATTATCAGACGAATTGACCAATCTTACACCTGCCTTTGAATGTATTTCAGCCTTTATGTTGTTGTTGTCGTTGCCACAGGTCCATATGATTGTGCTCACGTGGTTTTAATAACCAGCTGCTATGAAAGGTCTGACCGGGCAGAACGAACACCGAAACTCCCCCCAACACAAAGCGGTACCTGTTGTCTTTGCCGTTCTGCAGGAGAGAGTGTCTGTCGGCGCCTGAGCGGTCGGTGCACACGTATGTATTCCGGCGTGTCATGGCGCTCCCAGGGATGTTATTCTATAGGAACGAATCATTTCAGAAGCAGATATTAGCAAAGAAGTGAAGCTACTAATGCAAAGATATGATCTGCATCTAAATCTGTATTTACTTTTAAAACATCAGTATTTGGATTTACAAGTCAGAGCTCATTGTTTTTTTTTACTACCGTTTATTTAACACCTCATACAAAGATCATGTCTGAACTAGCAATAATCAGAACGATGAAGTGAAGCTGAGAGCAAATAAATGCTCAGTTAAGATCCAGATGGAAATGAAAACAGGAAACAGACCGGCAGGTTTTATGAGTGGGAAAACACAAACTAGAGCAGCATTATTAAAAAATAAAATAATAAAACCAAACTGGCAGTAAGGCATAAAAAGTTAGGAGGAACAGATCAATGTTAAGATGAAGTAAGATAAAGGAAGTTTCATGAGACAGGTGCGTAGGAGAGCGACGAGCACTTCCAACAGCCTCAAACACTCCCGCACAAAACCTGCATAAATATGTGTATTTGTCTTGTTTTTGTTCAAGACCTCGATCAGGAAAACGGTTTGTCACAAAGGGATCCTAAACAGGGAGCGGCTACGACTCCGATACCAAATTACATTTCCCACAGATAACCAGCTCCACAACAACCACCATCCTCTGGATTTACAGTAACACACAGAGAAACCTACTGTATTCAGTAATAATCATCATCATGCACCTGTTAAAGAGGTCAGACACTATAAACTGAATGCCAAGCTGCATTCACCAAAAAACTCTACATCTCCAAAAGTTAGTCAATGTGCAGAAACATTCAGAAGGTGTCAGCTCACTGGGCCACAATACATAATAATAATAATAATAATAATAATAAAATGCATGTCTGTGGTTTTGCTCATATTTTGGTTCTGCTGCTTTGGCGACTGACAATTCTTGTTTTTCTTCCTGTACATGGCACAGCGAGTTGTCCTCTAATCGTAAGGTTGGCGGTTCAATCCCCTCCACAGTCGAAATGGGCAACACACTGAACTCAAAGTTGCTCCCAGTGGCAGGCAGCAGCTTGCATGGCAGCTCTGTTACCGTTTGTGTATGAATGTGTGGATGGATGAACGAGTACCACTGAGGTAGAAAGGTGCTCTATGAGCACAGACCATTTACCATTTGTTCATATTGTACAGACACTCAGCTAAATTTGAGTAATCCTGAATAAAGTTGTTTATCTGCAGTTATTAGGACTTTCTCAACGTACAGTCGTGACTCAATAATCCGACACTAAACGTAAAACCTTCTGTTATGTTGGATAGCAAGGCTGTTGGATTGTCAACTGACCGGTGTCCTCGTACACGTTCTGGCCACTTCCACCCCGGGGCAGCGCTCTGACGGAGTGGAGGTGTCCAGAACACAGACGATTGTTGAATCACGACTGTACATTTTAAAGTATTTAGTCTTGATATTCATACCACTACAAAGTGAGTTGTACTAATTATACTGAATATGATTCCTGTGTTTCAGTGTAACGCTGGAGAAGCAGCATGATGATAGTGCCAGGTTCTGTCTATGTTGTGCAGACCAGTGCTTCCTCTGCTGATGGGCGCTGGTTTCAAAGGCCTTCCTGCTCCAGAAGGAAAAGACGCGTCACTCACCGTGGTGGCAGTCATGTCTTTGCGGCGGTCTGGGATCTCGGACTTGTTGGGGTTATTGGCACTGCTGACCATAGGGCTGGAGGGGGGGAGGCTGTGGCTCCCCATCACGCTACAGCTGGCCTTACGGGAGGGCATCCGTCCCTCCCGCAGCTCCCGGTCGCCCGTGCTGGTCGGGCTCCGCTTGGGGTGCATGACGGGCATGGAGGGCCCGCCTTTGTTGTGGAGGACAGCAGAGCAGAGACACACAGGGACTCATATAAGGAATATTCTGTAGCTACGGTGGATTATGGAAAGTAGAACTCATCCACACAACTGATTCTTATAAACAATAACGCGAATAAGCCCGAGACTCACAGGGGTCCCAAAAGCATGTAGTGTGAAGGTCGCAAACGATTCTGTTAGAGAGGAACCATAAAGCTGCAACCAACCTAATCATCAGGTAACTGTTCAGTGTGTCACATGTTGGACATCAGTGAAAATGGCCACCTCTATTCCCTGAAAGCCAAACTGACGTATTCATGTTGCTTTATCTTCAGCTGAAAACCACAGCAACCGAGGAAACTGGTAAAACTATGGAAGGTGAATATTTACCGTTGCTATGCTGATAACAAACAATCTGGGGCGGTGTTAAGTTAAGTTAAGTGTTAATCAGAATGTTTGCCATCTTAGTGCCACAGGGCTGTAAACTGTAAACAAGGACGGTCAGCAGAGACCCGTCAGTGGTTCCGGGTATCCTACATGTAAGGCGTAGGTCAGAGAAGAGACTCACAGAAGTCGCTGTGTCGCCGCTGCCTGTGGTAGGTGGAGGCACTGCGCTGGGTCTTGCTATGTGAGGAGGAAGTGGAGGAGGAGGAGGAGCCGGTGGCTGAGGAGTGCTTGTTGGTCCCGTTGGTGATGGGGCTGGGTCGTACCCTCGCCAGGGACAGGCTACTAGCAGTGCGGGCCTCACCGCCCTCCTGTAACGGCCAGGTGGTTTTGGACAGAAAGGTGTCAGAAAGCATGCTTGAAAAGTTGGGAATCATTTAGAGAAGATAGCATGGATCCTAGTCTCAGAAACTGAAAGGGGAGCTGGATGTTGAACAGGTTCTGCGAACTAACAGAGATATGAACAGAACACTGAAAGCTGTCATGAGTCTCATCGACTCATTAACCAGACATGTCATTTCTATCCTGCTTCATTTCCAAAATATTCTTAATATAATCAACACATATCTGTACAGTTTTGATGAATGTAACTAGTTTGCTCCTTCTCAGGCACCTCCTGACTAGACCCACTGATCCCAGCCAGGTGACTCCGCACTCAATATACCTGCACATATATATATATGCACTGCAGGAGAAGACTGTGGGTACGAGATCTCCAGAGATGAAGACACACACTTGGCTGCAGAAGATCCAGTGTTTAAGTTCAAGTCAGAAAAATCATTTATCAAAACCATGACGGGGCAATATTGTATGATTTAGAGATTGAAAAAAACATCAACAGAAACAGCTGTCATACAGCAGCCTGCCCCCAGAGGCTGCAGACCTGACAAATGGTGGTCACTGGGGTCCATAACAGGGGTCCCCATTGGTCGCTTTGCCCCTCATGGTGTAGGATCACAACTTCCTTCTATGTTTTAACCACAACTTTAGAATCATTGCAATAAAATCAAAATAACGAATACTTCCAGAGCAATTCATCTGAGAAGAAGAGGTGTAAATTTGAACTGTCGTCCTCTAAGGGCGAAACCAGCCTTAACTATTAGTAACCAAGGCAACGGCCAGCCCAGTATGTTGCTTACTGCAAGCTGCTCTGTTGAGATTGTAAGTAAATATGCCTAAATAAGACATAAACATACAGCAGATCTGTATCACTCACATCGCCTTTGCGGCCCAGCAGCAGGTAGGTGGCGGTGACCTCATTGTATTTCTGATTGAGCAGAGAGTCTTTGATTTCCTCTGGAGTGAAGCCCATCCCGACCATCACCTCTGAGAAACACAAACAACCAGAAATGAATGCCAAGACAAGAGACAGCAACGTAAAGCATCTTGTATCTGGACTACATTGACCCGGCTCGGTTCTGCTGGTGTAGCAGTGGACCAGCTGACTCACCTATGCGAGCTGGATCGCTGTAGTCCTCCACAGGTTCTATATGGGGCTTCAGCTCCTCTCCCTCGTACCCTGAATTTATCCACTTGTCCTTCATGACTTGCTGTAGAAACAGAAACACGGGAAAGCTTCAGAGTTTTAGCTTCACGTGGAGGTAAGTCTGCTGAGTTTTGTGTCGTTTGGCGCCGCTCACCTCGAGGGTGCAGCGTTTGGCGGGATTGAGCACCAGGAACCGGCGAAGGATCCCCTCACAGTCTGTGGACATGTAGAAGGGCACACGGTACTTTCCCCTCAGCACACGCTCCCTCAGCTCCTGTCAGCCGCATCAGTCGCATGGAACACGTAGAAGTCAAGACACAAACCAGGAACCAGTTAGAAAGCAATGCATTGTGGAGACACGAGTCAACGATGGCATTTATTAACATGGAGGACCAACTAACACACATCCAGTGGACACAGAGAAACGTCACGCTGGTCTGAAGCCGATAAGGCTGGTGTAACAGTCTATGTTAAATAAAAACGTAAACCCTGACATCCTTCACTGCAAGCAGTATGTTGGGGTGCATTCAGAAAGCAGAGGGGTTAAATACACATTTGTCTCCACCCTCTGGTGGAGCTCCAGGGGGCCATTCATTGCCATCTGCTGGATTTTGGATAAAATACTATTTTCAGTTGTTTTCTAGCAGCAGGTCCCACTACAGGGTGCACCTCCCTTACAGAACCCAAACACACCGAGGATGATGCTTTAATGCTCCTATTCATCAGAGGAAGTGACGTCTGAATCTGAATGGTCGCTCTAATGGTCTGAGGTCTGCTAGCACACACCGAGACAAAGCTGCATGAAAAAGGTGAATCCACAACGACCGCGTCCTCTTGGCTCATGTCAGCGCTCATGAGGACATCCTTCCAGTCTCATGATTTTCATCAGCAGACATACAGAACACAGTGTATGTACTGTAACCGTGTGCTGCTCCACTAACACACACTGAGCTGTTTTCTGATCATGAAAACCGGCTGATGTGGACTAAAGCACGTGTTGATTTAAAGCCACGTTACATTCCTAAATCAGCTTTATATACTAAAAAATGATCAGACTCACATAAACATTGGATGTGAAACACTTATAATCCCACAAACTGCAACAGATCAGATCACACAGTAGAAAGAAGTGTTCTCTGATGATACCTGTTTGATACGCACCAACTCAGTGGACAATAATTTGGATCAATCTAGAACTCAACAACTACCCTCCACTGGACTCTGTACAATCAATAACTGTTGGGTTTCATTCCAGCATGCTGTATTTATGACCTACATACGTTCTCTTCAGCTTTCTTTTAGAGACTGACTGACAAACTGACAGAGCGGGGTCGGCGGATGCTGAGGCACATAGGGAGCAGAGGTCACCAACTTTCTGCAGAGTCAGTCGCTGCAGACCTCCAAACTTCATGTGGCCTTCAGACTAGCTCAAGAACAGTGTGCAGAGAGCTTCATGGAATGGGTTTCCATGGTAGACCAGCTGCATCCAGGCCTTACATCACTAAGTGCAATGCAAAGTGTCGGATGCAGTGGTGGAAAGCATGCTGCCACTGGACTCTACAGCGGTGGAGACACGTTCTCTGGAGTGACGAATCGTGCTCCTCCATCTGGCAGTCTGATGGACCAGTCTGGGTTTGGCGGCTGCCAGGAGAACAGTTCTTGTCTGACTGCATTGTGCCAAGTGTAAAGTTTGGTGGAGGGGGATTATGGTGTGGGGTTGTTTTTCAGGAGCTGGGCTTGGCCCCTTTGGTCCAGTGAAAGGAACTCTGAATGCTTCAGCATACCAGGAGATTGTGGACAACTCCAAGCTCCCAACTTTGTGGAAACAGTTTGGAGATAGCCTCTTCCTCTTCCAGCATGACTGTGCAGCAGTGCACAAAGCAAGGTCCATAAAGACATGGATGGCAGAGTCTGGTGTGGAAGAACTTGACTGGCCTGCACAGAGTCCTGACCTCAACCCAATAGAAGACCTTTGGGATGAATTAGAGCGGAGACTGAGGGCCAGGCCTTCTGGTCTAACATCAGTGTGACCTCACAAATGAGCTTCTGGAAGAAAGGTCAGAAATCCCCACAAACACACTCCTAAACCTGGTGGACAGCCGTCCCAGAAGAGCTGAAGCTGTTCTAGCTGCAAAGGGTGGACCGACGTCATATTAAACCCTCTGGATTAGGAATGGGAGTCACTTCAGTTCATATGTGAGTCAAGACAGGTGAGCGAATACTTTTGGCAATATAGTGTATGCTGGGATATCTCCTCACTGTCCAGCTCAATGTTTCGGTTTGATGGGTAGCAACTTTATTATTTAGATTCATTTTCTCTCCCATCAAAGTCAATTTAACACAAAAGCATGCAGCTGTTTTCATAAAAAGCTCTGATAAACTCGCTGTTAGCAGCTAACCAATGAACATGATGGCACGTCCATCATCAGGTGGTCGAGTGCAAACCCAAAGGTCAACAGAGAGAGAATACTGAGCTTGAACAGAAATGAATGCTAACGTTGCTACATGTGTGTGATTGGCAAACGTTTGCTGAGGCGACTGCTAACACGTTTCCCTCATCAGCTTTACAGGGTTAAGATACACTGATTTTGTGCTAATAGACTATTTAGATCATGTGCTCACGTAAAAGGTTACGTTCGATTTTGAATATAGAACTCAAACATCTATTTACGACAGGCTGTATTAAAGAAGAGTAACGTTAGCTAAAAAACAAACAGGTCCTGAAATACCTTTACAATCATAACGCCCGTCCCCCAGGATGTCTTCACATCCCTTGATTCGACTCAGACGTTATGCACAGGCTTTTGCCTTCTGGGCCAGTTGGGCCCGGCAGAAATCCTATCACCCACCGTTACTGTAACCTGAACTCATCACATAATCTAAGGTGACATTTCACCCTTACATGCATGGGTCGTTTTTCAAACGCTGTTAGATATCTGGTGTTGTCAGCGACCCACATTTGATAAAAGGCAGATTAAACCGTTTATTAACATCATACTGCTGCTAACCTTTACAGAGACCATATTAACAACAACCAACAGACAGCATGTTTGCAATTAACTTTTAAATCATTTATAGATGTCAGAAAAATGTGTTTTTTCCCCCCCAATGCCTTAATATTTATCAGAGCTGACTGACGTATTTCATGCTTCTCATGTCTTATGTTCAGCTGCTTTAACCTCTCAGAGTGACAGCATCCAGATCAGCTGCACACTAATGAATGATCAGTCACTGTGGATGTTGGGCAGCAAACTACTGTCGTCATATTATCTTTGTGGGCTGCACGGTGGCTCAGTGGCTAGCACCGTGATCTCACTGGGATCTGTCTGCATAGAGTTTGCAGCGTCGGTTCTCTCCGGGTTCGTTGAGGTTAATTGGTGATTGTAAATTGTCCGTGGGTGTGAATGTGAGTGTGCTTGGTTGTCTGTCTCTAAGTGTAGCCCTGTGATAGACTGGTTACCTGTCCAGGTGAACCTGCCTTCACCCTGAGTCAGCTGGGATAGACTCCGCCCCCCAGACCACCTGCAACCCTAGTGAGGGTTAAGCGGTGTATAGATAATGGATGGATGGAAAATATATATTTAAATATATATGAACCCATTACTGCAGCCCCCTGAGGAAAAATCCTGCCTGACTGCCCCCAGACAGACAGACAGACGGACAGTCTCTCTGGTCATTGACTTGCCTTCAGGTTCTGGCCATCAAAGGGCAGCGAGCCGCTGACCAGCGTGTACAGGATGACGCCCAGACTCCAAACATCCACCTCGGGCCCATCGTACTTCTTTCCCTGGAAAAGCTCCGGCGCAGCGTAGGGCGGCGAGCCACAGAACGTGTCCAGCTTGTTGCCCAGCGTGAACTCGTTGCTGAAGCCGAAGTCGGCGATCTTGATGTTGGCGTCGGCGTCCAGCAGAAGGTTCTCCGCCTGAATCAGATATACATCGATGCAGAGGAGGAGGAGGAGGAGGAGGAGGAGGAGGAGGCAGAAATGGACAGTGGGAGGGAGGGAGGGAGGGAGAGCGGAGACAACGTTGGGGAGTGAAGGGGCAGCAGCAGAGAAACATTGTTGGATGAGAGAGCAGAGAGAGGGATGAGAAAACAGGAGGACACAGAAACGTGAGTTGTGTGAAGAAAGGAGTGCAAACGAGAGACAGATGGGGAGGGGGGTGTAGCGCTGGCGTGTTGTCCAACAACACAGATACTGGACATGAGTCATACTGTATATATGTCACTGTGTGTTTAGGCTCAGGCTGCCTCCTACCCTCCCAGATCGTCAAAAAAAAAAACAGCCTCTTCACTCATCAGTGCGATTAAAATGCTAAAGGACCATTTTCACGGACACAGATTAGGACTAGTCCCAGATTATAACTTTCAGTTCAGTGTAATCTGTCAGAGAAAGAAATTTGCTAGTCTTGGACTAGCCTTAATCCCCCACCGCCGGAAGCTGCCCAAAACATCCTCTGAGCTTTCTCACCTTCAAATCTCTGTGGACAATGTTCTTCGTGTGGCAGTAGTGGACAGCGGAAACAATCTGTGAACATGAGGACAGACAAACCTGAAGCATTGACAAGGAAATGGGAGGATAGGTGCAATGTGGGCATCAAAGGTAAAGTATTCAAACCTGTCGAAATTTGGCTCTGGCTTCAACCTCCTTCATTCTCCCATGAGACACGAGGTAGTCAAACACTTCACCTGCGAGTGAGCACATCAGTCAGGTAATAAAGCCAGAGGCATCTCACTATTAGTTGATTAAATATTGCTGATATGCATAATCAATTTCAATCACATCAATTCACTTATTAATATTTGATAAGGTGCAAGTGCTTTCAAGGTGCCAGCATCAATTTTATTGCCCTTAATGGGAAATCTGTTGTAATTACACGAAACATAGAAAGCACACAGACTTAAAGGGATAGTTTGACATTTTGTGAAACACACTTTCTTGCTGAGAGTCGGATGAGGAGATCGATACCACTCTCATTGGGTCCATTCAAAATGAAGCTGCAGCCAGCTTACCAGTATAAAGACTGGGAACAGGGAAAAGCAGCGAGCGCTGTCCCAGGGTGCAGACAAAACCCACCAACAAGCACCTCTAAAGCTCTCCACTGAATACATTTAATGTATGTAATCCAATGTAATGCTGGAGACATAAACAAGGCCTTCTTCAGGTATCTGCTCATGGTTTTGCTGCTAAACCCCAACTAATGGGCCAAATCACCTCATACTGGTACAGTGTACTCAGAGCTGATCTACTTCAGTTTTTGTCGTACTTTGCTGCTTTGTTGTGCAAACAGCACTGGAGAATGTGTTGCATGGTGCTGGTCTGGCTGCACCTCATCATCGATCTACAAAGTTCTGGCGTGTTTGTTTTTCTTTTAACTAATCGTAAACCGTTTCAGGGGGGCTAAAACCAGGATGCACCAACATGTGTACATGCAAGGAGACGAGCGCTGTCATCAAAATGGGTAATACACTGGAAAAACTAGCAGAGTTGCTTTATGTCACACCCCAAACCTTTGGAAAACTTTTAGTGTGTAAGTTGCTGTATGGAGGTCCTTGATGTTTTTCATAGTAGGGCCGATGACAGGCCTCTACCTGCAGTCTACAACATGGCGGCCAAAACACCACAAAATGGGATGAAAACATTTCTTGCAGTACAGCGTCACAGCTACCTCACTTTTATTTTATATACGTACAACCACATACAAAAGGCCTCGAACTGTGCAATGACTTCAAATGCCTTTTGAGGACAACTGAATTTATAGGTTGATGAGACTTTTTAAGACCCGCAGATACCTTAAATAAGTTCTGTCAGGTCACAGTTTGCCACAGAAAATGAAGCTGCGTGGTTTCTTTTTGATTAAACAACTTGACATAGCATTATCGTTGGTAAACCCTGCTAGCTTGCACAAAGTCAGGCTAGCTGTTCCCCCCATTCGAGTGTTTGATGGGAAACTGGGCTAACCAAGAGAGTTGTAAATCTGCTCACAGGTTAATCAGCAAGAAAGCAAATGAGCGTATTTCACAAAAAATTAAAAATCAGAAAAGTGTATATACTGTAAAAGAAATGGCTAAAAGACAAAAAGCCCAACGAGTTTTCTAGCTCCTCACAATAGTTCTGTGCAAATGCTTAGATGCTGTTTGTTTTTTTATTCAGTGTTTGAGCATCTGTTATACCGTAAACTCTGTCACACGCTGTATGAAAAGACAGATACTACAGTTTGGTCATTTGGGCACAGTTACAGTCTCCCAATACTTCCTTATGGTGTTGTTTCCCGACTTAACGTAAAACGGGCCCAAAAGAGGCCCGTTTGAAACTGTGCCTGCGACTTTCTCCAAGGTCACAGTAAGCAAATGATATGGTCTGGGCAAGAACACAGAAAAAAGGGGATTGGTGACGAGAAACCGACACAAATAGAAACATAAATGAGATTAATGGAAGCAGAAAGAAAAATACGGTGTTAAAGAAACCAGAGCAATATGCTGGCAACGCTCCTGAAATCGTATTTAACGTTAAAATAGCAGCAACATCACCGTACAGGTGCTGATTTGTTATTTACGTTGTGGTTCTATATGCTTTAAGTTTGACTGCAGAAAGCCTATCAGGGAAGAGCTGGAAGATTGTGCTGGGGAAAAATTATGCACATCACTGCATCGATATTTAATAGTGACTGGACATCACAAGTTTAGATTAGTAAAAGGACTAGTGCAGCTACAAAAACATGTCGATCCATTCACTGAATTTCCCAGTTAGTGCTTTATTTTGGGGTTAAAACAATTAGAGCGACACTGTAATTATACTTGTGTTCATTTCATTTGGATATGTTTCTGTAAATGTCTAGAAAAAGTCATGTTACACAAGGTAATAAATTAATTTATCTTAAAAACATCCCTGGTACAGACGTATGTTCACAGTTGCTTCGGGCTACTTAACTACAGCCTTTACCGTCTGTTGGAGACCCCTCAGATATTTATTATGTTTTACAATAACTGGGCAAAGCATGTAGAAGCTTACAGAACTGTAGAGGGCTAACATTTCAATGAGGAATTATAAATAAGGGAAATCATAAATGAAAAAAAAAATCTGCATGACAACATTTGCTGATGAAAGAAGCTAAAAGCTGGAGTAGAGTAGTTGGTGAACTAGGCTACTTATAAGCATTTCTCTGAATGACACAGAAGGATATTGCCATTTTGAACTCTTGGAGGACAACCTCAAAAAATGTAAATACAACCTCTATGCAAGAGTTTGCTTATAGGTTGACAACATCAAAAAAGGGTAAAGCAAATGATCCAGGTAGCAGCATGCACACGGCCTTCTCTTCTGATTTAAAAAGTTAAAAATCTTAATAAGTTAGGGCCACAGCCAGGTACCTAAATGTCCACAACTCCACCGCTTGTTGTTTAAGAAATCGTTTCAGACAGCTCTGACAACATGATCCTGTCCTCAAAAATGGCTCCCGATTTAGCCAAGCCCTTCGGGAAGAGCGGGACAACGTTCCACGAGCAGCATCGACACCTCATCAGCGCTACGCATCACAGATGTGTGGACGGGCATGATGCAAATGGTGGACATATGTTCTACAGACTAGTGATAAACCCGGTCCTGATTTTCCCATTATTATTTCCAATATACTTGACATCCATCCTGTTGTAGAGATGTCATGTGTTGGAATAATAAATACTTACTGCCCTGTGTTAAAAACAGTGGATAGGTTTAAGTAAAATAAAATTAAAAAAAAAAGGCTATAAGAGCTTAAGTTAAACAGAAATACATGTGCTGCTACGACCATATGGTCGCCCAACATTATATGTCAGTAGTTCAAACAGGCTGCAATACAAATCTTGCATCATATCCACCTGTCCCAGACTGTTGACTGGTTTTTAAATGCTTAAGAATATGTTGCCATCACTCTGCTGCATTTGACCAGGATTTCTAGATCATCTATGTGAAAAAAGGATTGATGTTTGACTTATTATACAGACACATCGAATACGACTGACATCATTCTGAGACGAAGGACCAGTTTTCTTTGTACATGTGTGCTGTACATAATGCAAAAACAGAAACCTTTGGACAGGGCCAGGCTCGCTGCTGTCCTTTGCGTCCACGTTGTTCTGCTAAACTAAACCAACTCCTCTCTCTGCTTTTGTACAGAGATCAGAGTTGAATCAATCTTCTCTTGCAATTCTCTGTAAAATTTTGAACTATTCTTTTAAGCTGTCCTTCAGATATTGAGGAAAGATTATCCTCCAAAAACAAACTAGTGTTTTTTGCATTTTTAACCCTTTCTAATGGATGTATTAAGAAGGTACCGGCCCCTTAGCTTTCCTGCCAATGCTTCCCGGTGCTCACTCCGGGTATTGCAATGAAAAAATCTGCAGGCTTACGGATGATTTATACATTTGCACATCAACATAGGATTGCCTGGACATGACAGCCGATGCACCCACCTCCACTGGCGTACTCCATGATTAGGTAAAGGGTCTTTTCCGTCTCAATCACCTCGAACAGCTGCACTGTGGTCCAAAACAGAATCAGATTAAAATCAAATAGATAAAACAAATCCTGCTCACATTATAAATAATAGCCCAGCCGTCTGCCTGGCTGTCTTAATACAGACGAGTCCACCGCTAATGCTGTGGGGGGTTTTGATTCATGTGACTTTCAGCTTTAGAAAATCCAACCTCGTGACCTCTATACCAGGCCCGAGATGTCGCTCGCTGCATTTCAGTCAATGACAGCGCCGAAGCTTATTCAAAGCATTACACTTCCGTCTGGTTACACACATGCAAGCAAATCTCACACACACACACACACACACACACACACACACACGCCTGAACGCACATTCAGACACGCCAACATAAGCACAGTAGAGTCTGTAGACGTGTGTGTGCCTTACCTATGTTAGGGTGATTTAAGCCTTTCATTATTCGTACCTCCCGAAAAAGCTGGAAGAAGAAGAAAAAGATTTTAAAGTCATGAAAAGTAAAATCTGTGTTTCTGCTGCTGCCTTATTATCGTTCTCCATGAAGGCATTTTTCGCAGATTTGTTTTGTATTCAACCTGTTTAGGGAGTGAAACACAACTGGTTGGTAGAGATCCTTGACAGGTGGGGTTCTCAGGATTTTATGGTTCTGTGTTCTCGGGTCCCAGAACTCTGACGATCCCAGAGAGCTGCCAGAATACGAGTATGGTCTACTTTTGTATTTTCTTTTCTAGCTTGTCATTATATGCAGGTGGTCCTCAGTTTTAACAGCTGAATTGAAATATCAATGATTGTATAATAGAGTTTCCTGGTAGCCGAAAGGTTACAGCGAATGTCGTCCGACTGCAGCGTCCCCGGTTTGAGTCCAGACAAGGACACTTGCTTCATGTCATACCTTCCTCTTTCACTCACTATTTCCTGCATGCCTCTTCACTTTAAACTGTCCAATAAAGATGAAATATTCCCCCAAAATCAGCTGTCTAATGTCCTTTATAGCTCCTGGAGAGCTGTTTTTAAACCCAAAACGTGGAGCATGAAACACTTGGACATTTACAAACCATAAAGGCCTCAGGAATCACACAGTCCAAGTCATAGCTTCAGCATGACCGATGTAGACTCTGAGAGTGGACAGCAGACATGTATGCAGTTTTATTCATACTACAACAGGTATATGTCAGTGTACTACACAGATCACACACCTGCTGATGCTCCTGAAAGCTTGTGAGTTTGTCTTTTTTGGTAGAATATTGCAGCTAATTACAGACTGGGCTGTAGCACCGCATCAGTGAATATGTCTGAGGTGTGCTGAGCCCAGTAGAAAGCACACCTCAGAACCCTCCGATGGCATGTGGGCACTGTCTATGGACAGCATGTATGAAGGTTGATCAAAAAGTCACAAGACTTTAAAAATAAAAAATCTGCACCAGATTTACATTTGGTCTCCATCCCAGTCGCAGTAGCCTCTTTGTTCAGCGATACGGTAGGAATCCCTGGAAGTCATGTGAACATGTAAAGCTCCATCTGAACCGAGGAAACCCTTAAACCAGAACTTTATCTTGAGCAGAGAAAGATGTCGCAGGGGGCCAAGTCAGGTGGATGGGGAGCAAGAATCATATAGTTGTGGCTTAAAACAACCTGTGCATAATTGCTGTGACCAGGCACACAGTGCGCTGAAGCATCACATGCCATCACGCCACAATTCAGGTCATTTGCGCCGAATGTTTTCCTCTTACGTTAGCAGGACGCCATAGCAGAGCTCTGCCTTGACAGTCCAACCCTGGAGAATGAATTCCCAGCGTACAACCACCACAAAAAACAACAACAAGCATGCTCTTGGTGCACTTCCTGTGAAGCACCATGTCTAGTTTTGGAAACTGCAGGCTGTGTAACGTGCCATTTCTTCTCAGTGGTAGCCACCAACCCACCACTCATTATCAGCAATGATCCTTGATATTAGGGTATTCTTGCCTGGCTGACACCCAAAATGATTTTTTCTTATCTGTCAATGGAGAAATCGCCAAAGCGCACCTATGAGGTGGTCATAAAGACGTCTGTGGTACAGGTCCTCCTGCTGACAGCATGGAGTCACGCAGATCCCTGACTCATACCGATTACTGCTCGATCATGATGCACACGTGTGACTCTGACGTGTTCCCTGCACGGGCGTCACGGACAGTCCTAGAACTTTTTGATGAATCCTCGTACAAATCAAAGGTCCTCTATTCTCCTCTAGCAGCGACTGCTATGGTTCTTTTCATGATAAATTTTAAGGATGTGGATGGCACAGCATCTCCTCGCGCCGCCTCTCCTCAAAACAAACATTTGTTTAGCTGCGAGCCGTCTGTGTGGACTGGGCGACATGAGAACGTGGATGGAGACTTGGGTAGACGATAAAATTTCATTAACTGGACACAGAAAGCATGAACTGGTCCTGTCACAACCTGCGCTGCACTGATTTTAAAAAGTTTCCATAAAGTCCCCCGACTTTCCACAAGTGGAATTTCAAATCATTGGAGCACATCTTTAAAACTGAAGGTACACAACTTCCTAAAAACGTATAATTTAGCCTCAATGTGTTCTCGCTTATTCTCTTCTCTATACTGTAATGATGCGTGTACATCAGCCCTATACTTGTTGCTGCAACTTACATATCCGTGAATGTGAGTGTGCTTGGTTGTCTGTCTCTAAGTGTAGCCCTGTGATAGACTGGTTACCTGTCCAGGTGAACCTGCCTTCACCCTGAGTCAGCTGGGATAGGCTCCGCCCCCCATGACCCTAGTGAGGATTAAAGTGTAGAGATGATGGATGGATGTTGACGTTTAATCAATACGAATCCTTTTTAACAGCAGAGTTTATCAATTTTTCAAGTTTCAACTAAATAATCTGACATTTGTGCAGCTCTTTGTGCTCCTGATAGTTTGTCTTTTTTAAACTTCCCACAACAGACAATATTATGTTTGCTTGGTAAATATAAAACTATACGTTTAATCCACCACCTGACAGATCAGTGAAGGATGTCTACATGAAAGGCTCAGAGCTTGGTTGTATCATTAGTGTACAGTCATGTCTTTATGGCACACTAGTGTGCAAATAAATGTTGCTCCTGACATTAACTAAGACCAGAACAAGCAGACAAATTTACACTTTTATCACTTTGAGAATTTGTGAAAATCTCCTCATGATTAAAAAAAAAACAACAGCATTCAGAAAATGGCTCACACACCAAAATCAGCCCAACTTCTCCTCCGTCTGAGCTCCTCTCCCTGCATGTGATACGTCTACTCTGGGGGATATATTTGTACATTTCTGTCAGAGCAGTGCAGGGGATTAAATTTGAGCCAGCTCCCCTCGTTTCATGTACATAACAGTACACTCCCTCGACAAAAGGCCGCTGAAAACCAGCGACTCTCCTCCGTGTCGTCAACTCAAAAAAAAAAAAAAAATGATGGTGCGATAAGCTCTTCTATCCTCTTTTCTCAACCATCTGAGCCCTCCCCCCTTTCCGATGTGTCTCCCTCCATTCCCTCCTCCTTCATTCAATTCCTCCAGCAGTCTTCTCCTCTAGCAGTGCCCCAACGTCACTGTTGCCATAGCGACCCAGGTATTAAGACCGGGCTCTTTCCCAGCTTCTCCAGCTGTGCTAGAGGGAATCTTGGGATACGTAGTGCTAAAGCGTCTCATCATCCAGGCCGTCCCATTAATTCCCTGCTCGTCACAGCAGGGCTGAGCAGGTCACATCCGTCAAAACAATAAACAATCCGCCGGCAACATGTTCGACCCCGGTCACCGTTAACGACTGCAAATAAACAGCAGGCCTACGACAGGACTGGATGCACATGCTCTGTGGCAGCGAGGTTCCTGTCGCAACTCCTGGCTGTAATTAAAATCTAGCAGATGGAAACAAACTGCATTAAAACGTACGCCTCAGCCTGCATGTCTTGAAAGCACACAACTGGAAAGTCATCCCATGTAATTTCTACGTGACACATAATTTGTTTTGAGGCTTCACATGCCAGCAGAAAAAAATCTCCTCATGTAATCTGCCACCTAGTTGTGAGAAAACCTTCTTGGTGGATGTTTTTGATTTTTTCTCATCTGTGATTTCACTCCCCTCCTCCACCCACCCTTGTACAATGCATCACCCTCTTTCCTTCTCCCCTCTACATACATTACCGTCCAGATTATGCTAATATAGGCTCTTTCATGTCTTCAGTCCTAAGGATTTTCTCTAGCCCACGGGTATGTAAAGAAGTCCGCTATCATCACTGGCCAATTGTGGAGTATTCTCTCCAATCAGCGGCCAATCCGCCTCTCTCTCCTCAATCCTGTCCTAAATGTTGCACCATTGTCTCTCACGGCAGCCCGTCCAGTCCAAGAGAAGCACCAGGCAGGACGACGGCATCACATGCAAGTTCGGTTCCCACAGAGTGAGTTCTAGCCAGGTGAGATGATGAAGGTCCAGTTTCTGTCATGACACAAGCGTCAGAAACATCATGAGCCAATCTATCAGGATTACGAGAAGCCTGTGATCCAAAGAAAACACTGAGAACTTGCATTTATGAGCTGAAGCCTTCATAATAATTCAAGGTCACTGCTGTCGCTGCACTGGAAACACAGAGAGGAAGATCAGTCGCAAAAAAACTAAGTCAACTCGTGTTTATTCTGAGCAAATCTTAACGGACATTTTTAGAAGTCTTCCACCAGTAAAGTGGGCGTCTACATAGTAGATGTATGACAAAACGGAGAGGAGACCTGAGGGGAGACCCGACTACTTTATTCTACATTTCACCTCATGTGAGGAAAAGCTGGTGTTTTTTTTTTTGTTTGCAGCGGGACACACAGACATCTTCCAGTCATTTCATCCCTGATCTGATCCTTCTGGTCTGTTCACTTCTTGCCCACAGGCGGAGGAGCTTGTGCAGGCCAAGGGAGGTGGAAGGAGAAAAGAGAGAGAGGGAGCGACTTAAAGCTAAATGCGGTTGACACTTTGGCCCATATGTGCATATAAGCAGCACTGCAGGAGGCCTGCATGCAATTTCTTTGGAGGCTTTTATTCCCATTTACTCCTTCAAATCACAGTTCTTTACCTGACCGCATGTGATCCGGCTGAATGAGGCGCACATGGCAGAGGAGAAAAGCTTGTGATTGATGTCGCCGGGGGATAAAACTGAGACATATGAGACTGAGCTCTACCCATGATCAAATGGTCTTTATGTCAGCCATGTTGGGTCTGGATATCCAGCCCAGGTTTCCTGTTGCAGATGTCAATGAATCCAGCTTCTGAATCTGAGTCAAGCGTCCACTGTTCAGCCCGTCCCTCACCTCCACGCACAACAAGCCTCCAGTGTCCACAGTTCAGGCTCAACACCCGACACGTTGACCGGCAGGAGAAAGAAACCACAGAGCCCTCCCTGTGCCACACACCTCTCATGAAGACATGGTGACCAAACCAAACACAGACGACCTCTAAACTGCTGCAAAATCACTGCACTCGTCTTTGTTATCCACAAAAACGTGTGTTTCGGGGAGACAAATTAGGAACACATAAACACACACAGAAAAGAAGGAAGCATGGGTTGGATGACCGCGGTTTCCAAGATGAGTCAGCCCCCTCTCAGGGCAGCGATTAGCCCAGAGAGAGACGAGAGATGATCTCTGGAGCAGAGGTCTCCTCTCACTCCCATCCAGTCCCTAGCACCTGCCAAACAGCATCACATCCCATGAGCCCTCTCTCTATCAGCTGCTCTCTCATCCCTGCCCCTTCTGAGGGGGGAAACAGCTGAGGATAAACCTGAACCTATTTCCACTATTTGGTTGAATTCCACTACAAAAAATTCTCCATATTATAAATTCTTTGCTCCTGCTTACAAAGGCGGACGCTATGAGACAGAGATGCAATGACCTGGATAAACAACCTGTCAGTAGGAGGAGGAAGAACTCACCTTTTGTAGGCTGGTTGGGTTCAGCTGAGTTTTGTCAATGATTTTTATTGCAACCTGAAAGAGAAATCAAGGTATTGTTGGTGAGGAACACTTTCAGCATTAACATTTGTTTAAAAGACACCCCCTCACATGATGCCTAGAAGCCTTTGATCCATATTCAAGAGTCCTTTCTCAGCATCTCAACAAGGACAATCCCAGTGAGAGTCCTGAGATCATGAAGACTGAGGCCACTCTGAAGAAACCCTACCATGAAAACCTCATCATGTGTCCCGTAGAACTGCACTGTACTGATGACAGTTTCGGAAATCTAGATTCAGACTTCAGAAGTTTCATAGGTCACAAACCTAAAGAACCAATCGTGCCAATTCCTGGATTATTCTTCTTCTTCAGAATTGGTTTATGGTTGTATGAGTGTATGAATGAATTACTCCAATATTACAACTTGGCAGTAGTAGCAATTTTAAAGTGTTGTAGGTGAGCTGGTGTGCTGAGCTGCAGGTGGAGGTGCTGACCAGTTTGTTTATTCGAGTTACATCTAAGCCATTCTAAGGCAGGAAGGCATCATTATTTTTATTGGAAATAAAGTGTTATTTGTCGAACAGAGAGGAGTTTTTGGGGGTTTGATCAATGCCAGGAGCGGAACTCGAACATTTACTTCAACAAGCTGTAGTCAAGTAAATTCGAGTGGTTTTAATCCCCCGCTGACAAGAGCTGGCGCAGCTAACCCCGTCTATAATGACAGTTCTCTGCCAATCTTTGAAGAAGAAACATCTGTTTCCAAGTGTTTTAGGTATCATAAGGACATGGCCTGAATGTACATCCTAAGACTAATTAACATCCCCATCTACCCTACTTTACAGCACACAGATCCCGGCTCTGTGCGCTACCACTGAAATCCATTTTATGTCACATTGTCAATCCAACCACCTTCTATAAAGAGATTTAAATAACTGTGTTTATAGTATAACAGCTAATAATTCAGTACAAAGTCTTTATAATATCAAATGTTGAATTATGTTTAGATTACTCTCTAAGAATGAGGTCATACAGTCCATTTAATCAGACATTTTTTCTTCACAAACAAGCATGCAAATATTGTTTTTAATGGTTTGATTTATCTATAAAACTGTATTAAATGATTTATTCATCATACTTATAGTCATTAGTTACAACATGAAGAACAAATGGTGCATTGGTATAAATGATTTAGTGATGACAGTTGGTTGTTTTAACTTGGTCTGAAATCATTTCTCTTGATATTAAAGATCCCAGATTCCTCAAACCGTGCTGACAGAAGATAAGTCAATCTACCAGCATCCAGTGAAGTGACTCAAAAACTGAACAGAGACGTCTAGAAAAAGTTAAGAGGTCAGATAAGTTCTGCTAAAAACATGGTGATGATGAAGACTTAATGCTGGACAGAATCATCTCTACAGGAAAGCAGCCACACCAGGTGAGCACCACCTTCCTCTCAATCATCTCCTCGCTCCCTTCCTCCCACCCTGAGCCTCCGCTGCTCCCAGATCTTACCTCCCTGCCCGTCAGGATGTGGCGGGCCAGCTTGACCTTGGCAAAGTTTCCCTTGCCGATGGTCTTGAGCAGACGGTAGTTGCCGATGTGTGGCTGCTCGTCAGAGCAGGAGGCGATGGAGTTCCTGCACCGGGCGCCCAGCGAGCGGCTGGACTGGCTGGTGGCCTTGTCTGAGCGGCTGGCCCCCAGTGACACATGCTGGAAGAAAATGAAGGGGAGGAGTTAGAGAGAGGAGAAAGAACGGGGGTCACTATCTGTGCCAACACCAGCATCACACAGTGCAGCAGCAGCAGCAGCAGCAGCAGGCTGGCAGAGGACCTCCAGGACTGTCTGTACCCTCTGAGCACTGATGGTCTCCAGAAGCAAAATGATCTCTGCGAGCTGGTCATGAACTCTGTTCAGCAAACAATATGAAGACACTGTGCTGCTTGTAGGCAGAAACTAAACTGTTTCCCACACTGCTGCATTTGTAGAGTCACTGACTGGAGTCACAGATGACTGTAACACACACAGGTAGCACCACTGACAACCAGCAGCCTGGCTTCACATATAATCTGCTAGAAGGCTGAGAAAGTGACATGTTGGTGCTACAATCATTCCACCAGATGTTTGGTTCACAAAGACAGAAAGGAGCAATGCTAAACAGAGCTGCATGTGTCTGCATGCCCCTCATTTCTGGGAGAACAGCTGCTGTTCAGCACATGAACACTCAGAACATATTGTCCATTCTAGCTTCAGACTCATGTTCTTTAGAGGTCTACTACTGAAAGATGTCTTCATGCAGAATGACAGAAAATAAAGGTGAAAACACTGTTGCTGCAATGTGTGGTCGCCCTGGAGCTGTTGCAGCCCCGTGGACAGATAGCTACTTGATTCTGGACCCCAGTGCTTCAGGGCATTGTTGTGCAGCACTGATAGAGTCCCAAGCTTGAGTCACAGATCATTTTCAGCAGGGAAGCAGAGCAGAAGAGAAAGGGAGGACAACAGCATGCATTTCCACAAACAAAGCTTGATGTATTACAGTATGAAGCAGCTTCTTGTCATGTGACGAACCAGCGAAACATACAGAGGAGGGAAGATGGAGAATAGATGGCAGGGAGTGGGGGGTAAACAAAGGGCAGAGCCAGGAGACAGAGAAGCCAGAATATCTGCTACGAGAGGGGCAAACAGGAAGGAGTCTCCCAGAAAAAGGGCAACTATTGGAGAATGGCATGTAGGAGGAGGGAGTAAATAAAAGGGAGCAGATGCCGGCACAGTGGTCCCTGGCCGGTCCCAGGCCCTGAGGCATCACACTTCCATCCCCCCCAGCATGTCATCTTGCTCTCAGCTTCACACACACACACACACACACACGCAAACACAACCACGCAGCCTTAAGCCCCACCTTCAGACACTCCCTCCTCTCCATGCTTCCATCCCTGTTCCCACGCCCCACCTAGAGCCAATTTGGACCCTCTCTACACAATCTCCACCACCGACCATCCCGACCAGCAGCACTGGAGGCACACACACACACACACACACACACACACACAGCGAGCAGCCTTAATCCACCGACTGTACGCTGCACACCAAGCCAAGCCTCACCTGTGCCAACATGGCAAGACAACATTTCATCCGCTCAATTCACTCATCCGTCTTCATCGCTTAATTGTAGAGCGATGACAGCAGATCAAGATCCATTCTAATGGAGGGAACAGATCTGCATTCACGATCAATCATGCACCTCGTAAACTCATACACTTCTGCACAACCAGTTCCCCACACACACACACGCATGCACACACATTTAGTGGCTTAACCATCCTTCTGTGCTGAAAGCTCTGCTAACAAACAGATGGGGGGAGGTCTTGCCAGAAGTGTTTAGGGCAGTGAAATGACATAATGCAACGTCAATCAGTCATGTCACCATTTTGACAGAATCCAGGAGCACAGATAGGCGGATAGATGGATTCCATCTACATATGCAAACCGTCTAATTGCGTCCTAGCTTGTGCCTTTTCTGCAGGCCGCTACTGTTTTCCACTGTACTGAATGTATGGCGCTGTCTGACACCCACTGGCTCTGGGGTTGGGCGCTTTGTAGGCTGCGCAGCAATGGACTGCACATCATTTTACGCAGTAATCCCCTCGCTTCATACCAACAACCCAGATACTCTCCATACATTTGCTCTGGCCTCCTGTGCTCTCGTCCCACCCATCCAATTTCTGGGGAATACACGCACGCACACACACACACGCGCACACACACACAGCAGCAGCAGCAGCAGGAGTATAATGTGACATCACTATCTCTCCACAGCCTTATAATAAGAGGTGACGGCTGGTTTTCTGCGCATATCCGCTGAGCGTTATCGTATGCGGATGGACTCATTCCGGGCTGTTTGCCTGCCATCAGCTCTTTCCCTGCGCAGACACTCAAGGTTAGCCCATTTCCAAAGAGCCTGTCCTGCTTAAATGTCTATCAACCTCACCTCCACAGCCCCTTCGTCTAAAGAGGAAAAAAAAAACCGAGAGAGGAAAAAAAGCCCCATCTGTGACCCCCCATCTGCACTGAGAATAAAAGCAGAAGATGCCAGAGGCCACACATATGAGGAGATCTTTGTTCAGGGATGCACGATTTATCATTTGCATGCACACAAATACAGGCTATAGGCTGTAATTGCACTTACATGGTCTCCAGTACTCCTGTCGTTTCCAGACGGTAATGCAGATCGAGAAGACATGTTGTTTTCTTTCTCCTCGTTCCCTGAGTAAGAATCACGGTGTGTTAGCGCGGATGATATTCACAGGCTCCACAGACGGAATAACATCCGCAGATGCGACCCACCGTCCCAAATCAATCTGCCTCTTCTCCAACCGGCCGAGCCGCGGTCGAGAGGAGACCTCTGCCTATCATGGCAGCTCTGGATATGTGGAGGGGGGGTGTCCTCAAACAAGCTGCATGTTCCTCCGTGCACTTTGCAGAAATACAGCCGATCAGCGATGCAGCAGATGCAATGCAATGCAAATCCCGAGCATCGAATAAGTGCTAAAATGCGGTGATGTTTGGCCGGAGCCCAGCGTCTCTGTGGCGACTCTCCACCCCCTGCCTCATTTCGCCATACAAAACAAACACGGCTCCTTCTGGATGTGTGTCATCTCGCTCGCTCATAATACTGACCGACGGAATCTTCCGCTGGAGCCCCGCGACGCCGATGCAAGCCGCTCCGCTTTGCAGCAGCTCGCAGGGAAACACGGCTCACGGTGCGGCGGGGGAAAAGGCCGAAATGTTCAGAAATCGGTATTCCCGGTCGGTGAGATGCGCAGCAGCGTCAGGTTACACACAGCACACCGGGACGAGACGTCCGAGCGGCGGTTTGGAAGTAAAAGCCTGCGTGGAGATCACACCGAAGAGCCTGCATGCACCAAGGAACTATTTGTTTTATTTGGAAATAACAAAAAATCTATCTCTAATATAATCTGTGTATTTCACCGTTTTATAAGTGGACAATTACAATAAAAACAAACTAAAACACAATAGGAAAGAATAATGTATTTTATTCCATCATATAATTATGACAGAGTTTACAGACACATATAATGAAAACCAATTTATTTCTATTTAATTGCGCGAAACAAAAAGGCTTGAAATAAAAAGGCTCATGATTGGTGTGTTCGCCTGGTCTCTGCCTTGTTCCAGGACAAACACCAGCATCCCATGTCTCAGAGAGGGATTCACAAGACTCACATGATGGGCGACGATTTTATTTTGTAAACCCAATCTCCCCGCTTCCGGTCTGCGCTGTTTGATGGTGTTGAGCTTGACGCAGCCGAGATGCGCCACATCAGAGATGCTGACAGGTCCAACACAACACAACCCACTGCCGGTTTTATCAGCGTAGATTTCTTGCGTACATTAGCATAAACTTTCCAAAGATGGCCGAAGTACAAAGCTTCACCATCCAAGCCTCTGATTCGTGAAGCAGTCCTTTTAAAGGCTTGCTGAGCACGAGGGCTGGTGGAGCAGGGGCCTGCACAGGCAGAGGGGTAGAGTCTGCTCTGGGTGCCAAGGCTCCTCTCCCAGTTACAGCAAATCATTTAAAAAGACAGAGACAGCACCTCAGTAAACCCTGAAACAATCTGCTAGAACTCAATCAATCCATCTCTGATTTAACCGAGTGGCCAGGAAGAATTAGTCGTAGTGTTTATCCAACCTGACCTCACAATAAAAACTGCATGTGCACATAACAGTACATTTAAAATAACAGCACTACATCGCTCATCATCCACTCCTGTTCAGCCCATGAGGTGATGATACTTTAAGGAGGAGCATCCTTCCTTATGGCCTGCTGTGACTTCCAGAGCTCATGGCTGGGGCTGGCAGCGGGAGGCGAGGTGCACACACCATATGGGCTGGAGTCTGGGCTGCTGTGATGGAGTGAGGTGGGAGCGCCTGGTCTCTACTGGCTTTGTGATGCGTGGCACATCGCCATGTCACAATATATGTACAAAATGTATTGGAGACACGGGGATCTGTTCAGAGACATCAGCAGCATTTCCACACCACTATCCATAAGTCAACAGAGAGTCAGTTGAGTTTGTCTCTTGTGTTGCGTATTAAGAGCATCCCGTTTTAGCATCCGGCTGTGAGACCGAAAAGAGTTTCCTGGACTGCAAGGACATTTCCCCTCTGCTTCCTCCACCTCTGATCCTTTGTTTCTCATCACTGAAGACATGTACATGACTGATAAATCCTCCACGACAACATCTCTTTCCAAGTTTTGTCTTCTGCCCCATCCTCTGGGCTCCATGCTGCTCATCCTTCTTTTCAAAGGACAAAGGTTTCTAAATGGTCTGCACTTACATAGCCCTTATATCCAAAGAGCTTTACAGTGTGTTTCTTATTCACCCATTCACACACCAGTGGTGACCTGAGCTGCCATGCAGGGTGCTGCCTGCCACTGGGAGCAACTTCAGGCTCAGTGTCTTGCCCAAGGACACCTGGACTGTGGAGGGGATTGAACCGCCAACCTTACGACTGGAAGACAACCCGCTGTACCACCTGAGCCACAGCACAACCTATTGAAGGCGACACCCACACTTTAATGATCTTTGACCTACTTTTACTAAACATAAGGTGTCTCATTAGAACACCTCCTCTTCCCATCCATGCCTACAAAACCAGGTCTCTCATTTCCACGGACCCTCCAATGACTAGACTGTGATCTTCATAATAATGGGTTGTTCTACCAGACAAGTCCCTGCATCCCCCCTCTCCACACTTCCTTTACTTTCAGAGGCAGCAGAGCAGGTAATCCAGCCTGTTTTCTGTTTCCGTAGTGCAGTCCTTCTGTCTGTGCTCTTCAAGGGGCCTCTTCTACCCGGTCCTCCAACCACCACCAGCTCTCCAACATTCAAAGCTCAACCAGTACTAGAAGATCAGTCTGAGGTGCTCTCTCTGGTTTAACGATGCATCTAGTGTCCTGCTTGAGCCGAGCATGGCAATAATAACTTTCTACAGCCACCAGTTTGTTGCAGTGTTTGGGTCCCAGCTTGTTGGCGATTTGAGGGGTGGTGAGTGACAACTTCAGCTAAATGCATTCCGCTTGTTAACCTGCCATCGCCCACGTACCTGGATGTGTGTGTTGGCTGGTGGTGAGGAAACAGGTAGTGGCTCCAGCTGGGCCATCGCCCTGTTAATGCTGCTCCTGGTCCCAGCCACTCAGTTCTATACGCTACTACATTCTCAGAACTTAGAAGTTGTCCAAACTCCAGCGTTCATGGCTACAAAATATTGTTTAGTCAGTGATGAAAATCAGGAAATGCTTCCAATGGAGCACAAACAGGGAAAATGATTCTTGGCAGAACCTTAGAAAAGCTTATCGTCAGAGTTCTCCAAAGAATTATTTCTACAAATAGTCCTTAAAACCATTAGAACCACTAGAACTGTTCAAATCAATTTTAAGAAAAAAAATATCGAATGTCACAATTGTTCAGTATTTCTGGGTCTTCCATTATAACACGTCTAATATTTTTTGTTCTGGACCACCTGGACAGAACAACTTATTCCAGATACCAGCTTGTTGATGGTGTTTTAAAAAACCAGAACCATTCAACAACTAGTATGTTTCTGACAGTCAAAGATGGTGTCGTTGGTTAATCATCAGCTAGTCTAGCTATCCCACAATAAGCGAAGGGAATTTGTGAATGAGTATCCTCACGTCAGTTATTTGGTCACTGTGAAGCTGCCACTATTGTCTCCTTGGAAACTCTAGGTCTGTTATCCAGAGTTTTGTTCCACTCGTCTTTGCAGCTGTAGTGACAGCACCTTACCTGAAAACACAATACCAACAAAACACCAATAAAAACACCCAGATCCAGCTTTTAAAGAAGTTTAGTGACATACTAATTCTTGCATAAATTTAGTTTTTTGTTTTTAAAGGATGAACCCTGGGGCAGGTATGGGTTAAACACGTTCCATTCTTGATGTCCCAGGACCAGGGTTAACCTGTGTCTCTTATTAAAACACAACCCGTTGCCATTTTTAGAGGTTTGCAAAGAGTGGCACACGTGAATTAAAGAGATGCAAAAAACCAAACAGGTTTAACGTGTGTCGACCACCTTAGTAGTTAAAAAAACAAGCCTTAGCACCTGCAGCCATGCTAGCACCTCTGGGATGCTGTATTTGGACACAGCAAGGCTCTGAGCGTGCTAATGCTAACGTCATCTTGCTAACGTGCACAGTGACAAAGTTAACATTCTGATGATGATGTTCACCATTTTACGTTAGCATGCTAGCATTCTAACATCTGTCAGGTTTCCAGCACTGAACAAAATAACATGGTCACCAAATACACCAAATCTCATTGACATATTTAACTTAACATCACCAATGGCAAGCTCAAGCAGACACTGTAGGAAAAGTCAGGGGATCAGAAAAGTCATTAGAGGACTAGGATTCATCTACAATTGCAGGACAGTTGTTGTTTGGACTAATAACGAATGCTGCTAACCCTCTCCAGCTTGGCTAAACATCCTGACAATGCTAGAAAAACTTCAGCGAGAAACAACCCAAAGAACAGCAGAAACCCATCATCAAACTGTAGTTATAAAATGTCTCTTACCTTAGCTGTTTGACCGTGAAAAGTTTATGTTATCGGTAAATCCACACCGGAAGCAGTTAGTACTACTTTCCGTGTTACACTGAAATCATTCCGGGCGTCTTTTGTCGGCTTCGTTAGCCTCAGGGAGCTAAGGAGGGAACACTCGCTCAGCAAGCGGCTCGTCTTCAAGATGGCGTCCTGCTGATTCTGATTGGCTAACAGTGCTGTCAATCTCATTTTGGTGGCTGTTGCTATATTCTATTGGCTCTGGTGATTCGAAGGCGGTGTCAATCACTGGAATCGACCAATCATGATGGAGCTACAGCCTTGCGTCACCACAGGAGCTCCACAGCAGTCTGAGCAGCATCAGGACGCGGAACACAGACAGCGGTCTGGTTGGATGTTCAGGAAACTAAA